TGTGAGATTTGTTTCACAGTTCATTTAGCCTCTAATCTGCTGATGGTTTCTGACGTAGCTTCTTTTGCCCTTTCATGTACTTCAGACATTGCTTTTATCAGTATCTCAGTCTTTCTTCTGAGCTGGCTGCTCTGCACTCTGTTGCTTTCTAGACATATTTGAAGTTTCAGTAATGCAGGAATTATCATAGTCAGGGGTGCTTCTGATGGTGGTGTTGCAATAATTGTGATTCTGGCTGCTCCATGTTCCACACAAAAATATCAGTCTTTTCTTTGGACTTACAGCTCTCCGGGGTCATGCCACTCCTGTCACAGAAGAGTTTAAACCTGAAAATGTCTGGACTCAGGCTTCAAATTTCAAAGCCACGTTATTCAAAGCCACACTTATATGAAGTGTAAACTGTGCAGCAGATGGAATGGATATCCTTCAGAGGAAACCCTTGCACTCAATTCGCGGTGTATTCAGAGATGCTGCCCCTTGCAACTCGGACCACTGCATGGCAGTATTGCACCGACATCGCTGTGGCACCAGCCCTGGGGCACAGCGAACGGGGCCTAAAATTATGCTGATATCATCCTGGTGATCTCCCTTCTGAGAGTGAACGTCTCCTCTTCCCACTGCTGGAATATGCCCAGAATAGGGCATGTGCTGCCAGATGGAGGTGAGGCCTGCCCGTTCCTGTGCAATCCTTGCTTCTCTCCATCAACACTTCATGGGAGGGTTTGGTTTGATGTGGTGGGATGAGAACGATGTTCATGCTGCCCTAACGCCTCTCTCCTTCTGGGAGAGGAGAGAGAAGTACCTCTCTTCTCTGCATAGTTTAGGTGCTGGGAGTAAAACTCTTTCCTGTGCTGACCACAAAGCCCATCTCTCTGACAGGGCTGCTGGATGGCAGGCAGGCAGGCAACTGTGTGTGTGTACGGTGCTGCTGTACATCAATCACATGTTTGGGAATTCTGGAGTGGGGGAATGGGCAGACATTGCTATTTGGCTATAGAAGGGTTAGGATTTTCTTCTAGACATTCAAAAACAAAGCAACAAAGACCTTCCATGTGACAAGAAGCATGATAACAAAGAGGAAAGAAAAGGCATTGTTTTCAAGCTCTGAACTGGTGATGGATTTAAACCGTACATCCAAGCCTCCTGACTTTGGAAATATTTGGAGGTTTTAGCAGGATTGGTCTCTTCTTCCAGGTAACAAGTGACTGTACAAGAGCAAACAGCATAAAGCTGTGCCAAGAAAGGTTCGGACTGGACTTAGGGAGGAATTCTTCACAGAAAGGGTAATTAGATATTGGAATGGGCTACCCAGGGATGTGGTGGAGTTACCATCCTTGGATGTGTTTAAGGAAAGACTAGACATGGATTTAGTGCCATGGTCTAGTTGACATGGTGGTGTTTGGTCATAGTTTGGACCAAATGGCCTTTTCCTACATAAAGGGTTCTGTGATTCTGTGACTCTGATATTAGGAAAAAAATCTTCACAAAGACGATTATCAAGCATTGGAACAGAAGTCTCCATCCCTGAAGGTATTTAAAAGATGTGTAGATGTGACACTTATGGATGTGGTTTAGTGGTGGAGTTGGCAGTACCAGGTTAATGATGCCAGGACCCAATATCTTAAATGTCTCTTCCAATGTAAATGATTCTAGGATTCTATGAATTGGCTTGAGCATAAATTTTGTGGCTTTGGTAGGATCACAAGAATTATGACAGGTTTGAGCCTTCCTGTTTGATTACTCAGGCTGTCACCTCGTGGCAGCTTTGGCACAACTGATGAGTTAACCAAGAGGAAATGGAACCCTGCCCACCCCTGGAGTGGCAGTCCTTGGACCTGCAGAGGTCAGAGGCCACAAGCGCCTCTCTAGACGTGCTGCACAGCTCTGCCCAGCTTCTGAGCCATCATACAGCCCAGTGAAAGGAGGAAATGTCTGTGTGGTGCAATGCCAGTGCTCCAGCCTCCCTCCCATCCCGTGGGAGGTTTCAGGCAGCCTGTGGAAAATGGTCTGCAGTTCAGCAGCAGCTACCCACAGTTCATGGCATGGACCTGGGCATCTACAGTTAATCAAAGAAGAAGCCTAAATTTTTTGACCTAAAAGCCCTGAATCCTCTGGTTGCTGTTGAATTAAAAAAGCCCTGTCTCACCATAATGATAATATTTTAAAAATAAGGTGTTTTATACTTATATTACTTTTCAAGGAGGTTCTTTATCTGTAGCATGAAGAGAGACCCATGGCAACATTACACTTTAGCTAGCACAAGCAGGGAGGAGCTAGAAAGGCAGTACTGAAGCAAAATATAAGGAAATGTAAGGAAACAGGAGTAAAAAAAGGAAATGGCCATGCCTGCAGGTCTCCAGATATTTCTTTTTGCTATTAAATAGGCAGTGTACTTCCAAACAGGCTTTCAAAGCATAGTTACATATTAATAAAATAAACTGTAGACCCTCCACTGTTCAAAGAGCCAAGTGAGCAGGAGCAGAGCATGGTTTGTGATTTGGGGCAGCTGTGCTCCCACTGTCTGGCTCTTCACTCTTTTCCCTAATGCAACCTTGGTACCTGTTGAGAAGCACTTCCCAGGCAAAGCCCAGTTCTGTGGCAGGGTGAGAGTGTGCTGGAGACCATCCCAGTTGGCACTTTGGGTGTGGACACCCTTTTTTTGTGAGGGGAGAGAGTTGAACCCCGTGGAAGCGATGCAGGTTGCCGTGTGGCTCAGCACCAGAGATTTGTTCTTGGCTTGTTCTCTGAGCAACCATAGCCAGGAAAACAAATAGGAAAAGGGCTTGAAGTACTACCAGAATTTGTTAAGTCAATGAACAGGGAAAACTGTAAGTGGCTTGCCATTGGGAAATGAAAGCAGAATCTACAAGCCATCAAGCTAAGATCCTGGAGCTTAAATTTAATTACAGTAATGTCCTTTTTTTAACTGGGGCTTAAAGCAATATACAAACTTTATAGGCTTGGCAACATTGAAGCTCATATCTTCCAGACTCAATGTCTGTGATCTGGCTTCTATGCCAGGTTTACTTCTGGTAATTTCCTGAGAAAGATAAGTAATTTAGGCAAGAAGACCCAGCTGCCTTAACAAGTTGGAGTACTCATTTCATTCTGTGGTACTGAGTTCACTGCACACAGAATTGAGCTCACAGCCTTTCTCCAGGTTCAACTTCTGCTGCTTTTTGACTGCAGGCCATCTCTTGGCTCCAAAAAAATGTAGTCTACTAAAATAAAAAACTGACTGTTGCAGACTTGGAGCATAAAGTCCATCTCTCTTAAAAAGCAAGTAAATGATGCCACTTTGATGACTTCAAGTAATTAGTTTAGTTTTTTACTAATCCTAGAGATAATTCTTTATCACTTGTCCAGTTGAAAATGGGGTCTGAGTCAGTTTTATATCTCAGCTCTGTAGCTCAGCAGATACCCAAGTGATTTTGTTCTTCAATAAATCCTATAAATTAATATTTTCTACCCTGAAAACCAGCGTGTTAACACCCAGAATCTTGTTGTAGTTATTGATGTATGTAGCCAGAGATACATTATTTATTTTTCTTTCCCCAAATTCCATTTTTCCCCCAGTGTTTAGTCAGGATTAAGGAGTGCATGTGCATGTGTATATAGCTAGTTCTTTTTAATAAACTTGGTGCTAGAAGTCACATTTACTAATTTACATTAGGCTCAGTTTATATGGTAATCTTTAAAAACAACCAGCCTAAGGACTGGAAAATGCATAGCAGGGGTTAGTCCCATATTAGCAGAGAAATAGGCTTGGTTTATTAATAGGTGTTGTTTAAGTCTCATTTCCATGCTTTCATGACTAGATTAAGTTTTCCCCTTACATTTCCCCTACTACCAGAGGCGTAATGGAGCGAGAGAAGAAACAAGCCCTTTTTCAGTTCACAGAACCCCAATTCTTTATTAATCACAGCTTGCTCACAATGACATACAGGAAAATAGCACTAATGAAGAGTAGAATATGCAGGCAGCAACCTCCAGGGGGGTAGGGACAACTTCAAAACTGCAGCTATTTTGGGGATGATGTGTTAGGTTTGGTGATATTGTACTTGGCACAAGCACCCTGTCTAGTCATTCCTCCTGCTTCAGCCCTCTTAGTCCTAGATGTCTGTCACTAGGTAGGGTTGGCTAACACTGAAGAGTAAAGGTCATGATGGATGGAAGTCAGCAGTGTCATAAAAAAAAGGTAACAATTGGCTCATGGGTTCCAGGTGAAATATTGGGTAGCCTCTTGTACTATTACACATGTAATGTGGTAGCATCAGATAAGTATCATAGATCATGGCACCTACAGATAAAGCCACTTGATGCTATCTATTAGTTGCTCCATCAAAAAATTTCCAAGTGGTGAATTAAGCTCACTTTACAATTAGCATTTGTATGGCTGTTTGGCATCATCCAAAATTTGTCACAGCTCGATGGTTACAATGTGCCTCTTAAATTTGTCTCAAACTGATCTTGCTTGATTTCATTCTGTTGCACAGCTGTTTTTGTTGCCTCTCACCTCAAAAAGCAGAGGCAACAAACACACTATGTGGCAATTCAACATTCAATTGTACAGAGCAGTACAGAGTCCTGCATCATAAGTTGCATTTGAAAAATCATTTTAAGAGCCTTTTGTCTTGGTCAGCTGAACGTGAAGTCACAATACCTGTGATCTAGTCACTGTTTCAAGAAAGCTTATTGATGGCAAAGCAGTCTAGGTTATTAGGCAATGACTGGTCTCTAGCACCATAGAACTACTACTGACCTCATGGTGGTTGGAATGAGAAGTCGCAGGGAATGGAATTAGACATGAGGTGCTTCAAATGAACAGACCCAGCAAATTCAACCGAGTGGAAATAGACAACATCAGAAGCCTGTTACAGGACATGTAAGATTATGAAATAACTTGCATAATGCAATAATTGTATTTTTTAACAAAAATGTAAGTATTTACAAAATAAGATCCAAGTTTTTTAAACATCAAGCAAATCATTCTGCAAAGAGACCGCATTGTTTTTATTTTTTTTGTTTCTTTTTTTAAAGTTTTTTATTGAGTTCTTGATTTTTACCTTTTTTTTTTTTAAACCACGTCATACATTTCCCATACTTATATCGCATGATCCATAATAATATAGGCAGGGGGAGTTTACTAATGGTGGGGATGGGTCACATCCACCATTGCTGTTTTCAGCCAGACAGTTCCACCTGGAGCTCCTTGTTTCTACGGACCTCTGCAGCATGCCTCTCCTGGAAAACATCAAGAAGGGAAAAATCAAATCTTTTTCTCGTTCCACCTGCCCAGGCAGGTTCATGCTGACAATCTGTTTAGGTCATGCATTTGATGCTTGTTTCACAGCACAAACATCTTTAAAAGAAGCAACACGGGAGAGGTGTCATCCACCAGACCAGCCTGAGGCACGTTTTGTGTTTACTTTCTACTCCTACTCTGGAGCTCAGTCTTTCATCTGATATGGCCTTATAATCCTCAGAACCTCACAGAGTTTCATTTAAAAGGGTCATGTAAAGGAGATGCTGCTTTGCAGGATAAAATGTGCCACATGCTCACATTTGCCCTTTGAATTCCTGGATATTAAACTGCATATAGAGAAGGATGAGTAAGGAATTAATTGCCTGCATATTGTTAGTAACTCTGTTATCTGTGATATTTAGGAACTTTAATAAAGATCTAAGAACTTAGTTACAATGAGGTAAGTGTCTACCTGAACGTCTCAAATATCTCCTTAGTCTGAACACTGAAGCTACCCGTCCTCTTGATTCTTGCTCTGGCTATAATAAAGAATACCACCTACTGCACTAACAGCCTGAAAATCAGCCCTTGAAAGACCTGTAATACTGAATGCTAGATTTTATAAGGGATTTGTTGCTTGGTGTTCCTATTAACTGCAGTGTACAGAAGTTACCTCTGCAGTAGCTTCTAGACACCAATACCTTGGGGAACCCACAGCTCTGCATAACTTTGGAAGACTTGGAACCAGATATCTCACTTCTTTTTCTCACTTTTGATGATGGCAAATTATGTTTGCTTTCGATGTTTTGGTGTTGGCAAAATTGTATTTTTTAATTACTGGTCAGTGCAAATGTTTCCAAGTGAGTTACTGTCATCTTTCCTCAGAAGTCTTGGGTTTCATGTATATATGCCATTTCATTTCTGTGAAAACAGGGTTTAACAGTCTGTTAACATTAACCTAGGACAGAGAGATGCATCAGCTGTCCTTCCCACTTCCTTTTGGGCCTCGAGGACAGCTAATTTGCTTTTCTCTTTTTTTTCATAAGGTCTGGGTATGTGCCTGCAAATGAAGCTAATGCAAAAACGTCAAGCAGTCTTGCTATAGCTCTTAAGCTCAAGAATTATCCTGTTTGTGTAGTTACTTGTAGCATCATCCTTTGGATTCTGTTGTTTCTTTCCTACTCTCAAAGCTTTTGTCTGCATCAAAGATGTAGAGGTGCTTATGGGGATCTCCTTGAAAACCTCTGAGACCTATTTTCTCTAGCCAATTTACTAGTATATTAGAAAGCTCATTACTGAGAGAAACAAGAGATGACTCATACAGAATTAATTAATTTTTTTCTTAACACTTCTAAATCTTTATTTGCATGTTTCTCTTCCTTGTGTGGAAGGTTTTTTTGGAGAAGGGCATACTTCATCCTACGTCTAGGGTTTGTGATTTCTCTGTTTCCTCTGGCTGTACCAAAGATCTCCATAGGAAAATTTACTGCCTTCCTTGCAAAACTTGTGGAAAGACAGACCTCTTTGGCAGTATATGAAAGATTTTTTCCTAATAATTTTTCATCTTTCTCCTCTGAGAAACTAAGAATTACAGACATAGGGCAGTTATTTGATTTGATCAGTGACTTTTGTTAGAAGCTGAAATCTAAACATAAGTGACCTTTCATTTGTTCACAGGACTTCTTAAAAGCTAGAAAATCAACCTTTCTCTAGAGACAGTCCAGCGAAGGGCCATGAAGATTAAGAGCATCTCTCAGCCTCTGCTATGAGGAAGGTCTGAGAGAGCTGGGACTGTTCAGTTTGGAGGCAGCTCAGGAGGATCTTACAAGTATCTGTAAATACCTAAATGAAGGGAACACAGAGCCAGGATCTTTCCAGTGGTGACATGATCAGGGACAATGGGCAAAAACTAAAACTCATGAGGTTTCCTCTGAACATCAGGGAACACTTTTTCATTGTGAGGTCACTGAGCACTGGCACAGGTTGCCCAGAGTGGAATTGGAGTCTTCATCCTTGGAGATATTAAAAAGCCACCTAGACATGGTCCTGGGCAACTGGTTCTGGGTGGCCGTGCTTGAGCCTGGGGTTGGAGCAGATAATCTCCAGAGGGCCCTTCCAACCTCAACCATCCTGTGATTGTGTGACTGTAGCACTTCAGTTCTTTTTCAAAGTGAGTGGTGGTTTAGACAGGTGTCAGTAAGTCTGACTTAAAAATAACTCAAGTGTAGCAACTGAGATAAGGGCCATGCACAACATCTCTGCAAAATGTTGATTAGATTTTCCTCTCGAGTCTAAGGTGAGAAGTGAGGGTGTGCTTACCTTCTCTTGGAGGCGTTCAATAAGAGCAGCTAAATTAGCTTCACGGTTTTCTTTGATCTGTTCCATTTTCAGTATCAGCTTTTCCTCTGCCATTTTGCTGAAGTTATTGTTCTCCTCCAAAGCTTTTTGAAGCACTTCTCGCTCATGTTCTCTCTTCTCTGCCAGATGTTTCAGCACCTGGGCCTCCTGGGACTGGAAACAAAGACTTAGCTGAGAAGAAATACTCACATGGAGCAAAGGATGTTGCCATGTTGCCCGGGAGAACTGTGTAAAGTTTCCTGCTTTTTTAAAATAAAGATCTCTTTGTGACTGAACGGGATTAGCCTCAAAATCACGGGTTTAGAAGCACTGGCTAAATGTGGGGTACATGCCTGAGGCAGCAGCAGAGAAATGTCCAGAGCACTTCTGTTAACAAGAAATGCTGCTGTGTTGCTGCCCTGGCTCGCCCGGATTACTGCAGTGGTTGCTCAACCTCTGACAGCTGCAGTCTCCTAGCTATAGGCTTTTGTCTGTAGAAATAAGGACCTGGGGTTGAAGAAATGTACAGAGTTAAAAGGGAGATTACTGATGCAGGACAGGTGCAATTTTCACCCAGGTTGGACTCTTCCTTAATGTACTTGAATAGTTAATTACAGGCCTGGAAGTTTATTGACATGTATGACAGGCAGCATCAATTCAGACAATGTTTTTTCCCATTACACTTCTATTCGGATTAATCTCACTGATTAGGAAGGGGAAAAAAAGTGTTTTATTGCATAGAAAGCAACAAAAATTTTTAGTTAGAAGCTCTTATTTTTCAAGGAAGATGAAAACTGTGAGTAGGAATTAAACAGATGCAGTCTATGCTTAATATTGTGTTCTTCCTTGTAAACTCACTGCTCAGAAGCATAAGCTTTGTTATTTATATTAAATCAAATTTCCAACAGGAAACCACTAATCCTAGGAAAGAAGCCAAAAAACTTGCAGCATTGGGCCCATTCTCCAGGCAAGTCTAGTTGAAAAGACAGTTATTTGAAAAGAATAAACAACACCATAAACTTTTGGATAAAATAAATGAGACGCAGCATGAGAAGAAACAGAAAAATAGAGAATGAAATAGGGCACCGGGAGACTAAATGCACATTTCAGTGCTGATCCCAAGGCACCACTGCCATTGTGATCCATAAAAATGAGTTAGTTTAAGGCCTAAATGAAGGGTTTTAACCATTCATTACAATTAGTGGTAATGAAACCTTTTAAACTCTATCATGTGGCTTTAAATGGACTGAAAAAGGCTGCAATTCTTTTGTATGAGCAAGACTCAGCTAGGAGAAAACAAATATTTTAATGACAGTAAAATATGCATAAAGCCAAATGCATTGACAAGGCAAATTAAGCAGATTCTAGAAAAGGCTGCAAAGGCCAGGCAGAACATCTTGCAGCAAGATGTTGGAGTAAAACACATCTGGCTTTGAAAGGCTGTAATGGATTGCTTGAGATCATAGGAGAGAGCCACTTCCATCCATCCTTATCACCTAAGGTGCTTCACCTCTGCCCTGGCTGCAGGTACAGGCTCATTTCTCAAACTGATCTCTGGAGCACCTGCTGCTAGGAATGGTCTCCTGGAAAGGCTGGTACCTCCCAGAGACTCTTCCTGGCCCTTCCCTCCCTTACAGCATTTTTCATGTCTTTGTTGTGTCAGATGAAAGATGTTGCAAATGGGTACAAAACCCCTCAGACAAATGAAGCCAAAAGCAGAGGGAGTTTCACAGGTGGAGTGTGGAAGAAGGATGAGCCAAAGACAAGAAGAGCAGGACAAAGAAGGAATTTTGTAGAGCAATTTAAAAATCATAAAAGCCCCATTAGTTTAATAAAAAGATAAATTTTAAAAATAATAATATAATAAATGTAGTTTATTTTGAAACAAAATGTTTGATTTTAGATACTTTGCATTTATTAGTTCTTAATTTTAGGTTATTTTACTATGTAAAAAAGTTCTGATGCAAAAGATCTGATGCGATGTAAAACTGAAATAATGAAATAATGAAATATTTTCATCTCTCTCATTTTTATCTCATTTTCTCTTGTCCACTTGTGGACAAACATGAGTGGCCCAGTTTGACCAGTGCTTGTGAAGTTATTCTGCATTTTCTGTTTACTTTACTACTCAATGGCAATCTCTCATCTACTTTTGGAAAAGTTATGATCATTAAATTTTGTTTGCTGATATGAATTTTGTGAACCCTTTGCTTAAATGATCTAAAAGTAATGGATAATCTGAGAACCCATTTCTCTTCCTGTGGAGAGTTTGAATAGAAAAGACACTATTAAACTAATTGTAATGTCCTTTCTCATGAAGCATTTCAGAAATGACTTGTTAATTTGAAAGGCTAACATTTAATGGTGTTTAAATATGCATATATAATGTGTTATAAAATCAGACCTTTCAGATTTGGAAAACAACTTTCAAGGACATAGCCATGCACTAATAAAAAGTAAGATTTGGACTATGCATATAAGAAGCATTTTTTTAGAAGAGCATTTGCTTTCGATGGAGGCAGCAAAATGCCTTTGAGATTTTGAGGCACTCGTCCATTTTTCAAGATTTGTTTTCTTCCATTCAAACCCTTTGCCTTCTGGAAAGACTTTTTATTATAAATGCTGGAGAACAATGAGAAATTAGAGCTTCATATCAAAATACACACATTTCTGGATGGTGTGCTGGCAGACAGTACATTCAAAAGTAATTTGTCATCCAATTCATGGTAATGAAGAAAATCCTTATATTCTAATTCAGTATTTACTGGATGCAAATTGTGTTGGCACCAGTAAGAGACTGCTTGAAAGCTGAACCAAGCCTCAGGAACTGACTGCAAACCCGTAATGGGATTTTCCTTTACGTTATGTCTTTAATGGCATATTGTGATGGATTTTGAGAGAGGAAAATCACCAGTACCCAGGACTGGTTCAAAATCAAGGAACCCCCCTCCCTGCCACAAAACACTCCCAAGGCAGAGTCTCATTCAGACTGATATCCCTTCTCCAATGGTGCTGTGGCCCAGCTGTCAGTCTGCCTGTTTCCCTGGTGTTCAGACCATTCTGAAATCCCCTAACGACAATTCTGGAAGGCGGCTGCTCTCTGTTTGTACTGGATTGTCAAATGATTTTCTGTTTCCAACCCATTTGGCAAAAGAACTTGGCCACCCTGTCTGTTCAAAGTCTACTACACGTCCAGAAATGGGTAAATGAATGACCATGGATACCCAGGGGAGCTGGGATTAATAGACTCCCTTTCTTGTTTGTCTTGGCTTTTAAATGGCTGTGTTTGGACTCACACAGTTCCACAGTGCTGCAGGATTCCAATATACATAGGAAGCTTGTCTTTCAAGTTTATTTTCAACACTGTTTTAAGTGCTAGAAAGGATATTTTTGAATCTTTTTACATAGTTGTAAAATGCTTATGAAAGTTGTAAATGGGATGAAAAATAAAGAAGACTAATAAGGAGAGAAAAATATGAAATGGTGGAGAAAACAAAAAGCAATATTCAAGAGGGAATATTAAGAAGACCTCTTAAATGTAATAAGGCATAACCAGTGCAACTCCAGCTGCAGCATCTAATGTTACATCATAGAATCAAAGAATCATAAACTGTCTTGGATTGGAATGGACCTTAAAGATCATTCCCTGCCATTGGCTGGTACATCTTCCACTAGACCAGGCTGTGCAAAGCCCCATCCAACCTGACCTGG